GGAAGGCGGGGGCGACCCCGGCGCTTGTTTTACAGCACCGTCTGCTCGTTCGTTTGCTTTCTGCAGAACCTCTGGTTTGCCAACCCCGGGGGCAGCAACAGCATGCCCAGCCGGACCCACAGCTCGGTGCAGAGGACGCGCTCGCTGCCGGTTCACACCTCCCCACAGACCATGCTGATGTTTCAGCAGCCAGGTAGGAAGCAGCTATTTGCCTTTTGCTTATTCATAGCCTCGAGACGCGAGCATACGTTACATTAAAATAGCTGTGCCGGTGAACCCCGCCGCAAGTGCTTCGCCTGAGCTGTCACAATACATTCCTGCACACTTATAGCAAAGCTTTCTTTTTTTAAACTGTGCCTTGCAGGCGTGAGCAGTGCTGGGCTGGCTGCAAGCCAGACTATGCAAGCTCAGTCTGTCGCAATCTGACCAAGATATTTTTGACACTAGTCAGATTACTAGATTGATTAAACTGGAGACATCACTGGAGAGATTTTGACCCTATATATAACATCTCAACTGTGCTAGTGCCTTACATAGCTTCCTTCTGAGAGGCTTTATATTACACGGGGAACGCTGTAGCACTTCGATCACCTTTTTTGTTTGTGCACGGCCTGGAGGACCCAGTGTGGAGGAAGTGGCTTCACACACTGGAGGGAAATTCTTTTTATAATGCGTATTAAGGTACATGTTGCCATATTGATGCTTCCTGTTTAGGTGCCAAGCACCTCAAAAATGCTCCTGTATACTGGAGCATCCCAGATCCTGCAGGGTGACCTTCCTCCACGTGGGGATGTTTATGCTTTTTTTTCTCTGTGTAACACTTCATTAGCCTTGTGATCATGGCTTTTCTTACTAGGCGCTTACTGCAGCGAAGCATATCCGAGGACAGGGAGTTACTAAACTAAATCTCGTTCATGAGCTACCACCAGGGCTGCAGCTTGGCAGGTCCCCTCACTCCATGTGTGTTACATGTCTGCAGTGTTTTAACTGCCTCATTTAGGTGGCAAATGTCTTGTAGCAAGAACGGTGTCTGTTCTTGGGTGTTGATTAAACACCAGTATAAGGATAGATTTCTGCAAGCCCTAAAGGAGAATAAACAGGGGGTTTTTTTTTGCACGTTAGTCTACAATGAATGAGGGTGTAGAAGGGTTACAGAGCCGCGTTGCCAAAGATATGGACAAAGTCACAAGGAAAATAAGTAATAATACGGTGCTGAGCTCCCAAAACACTTTTCATTTGTGGATCCCCAAAGATTTTGTAAGCACAAATGAGTGAATCCTTTAACACTCGCCGGGAGTAGGTGGTGCTACACAAACAAGTAAACCACTGCGCCTGTGACCTGGCCGTGACCGCGTCTCAGGGCTGGGCTGCGGGTGGCCAGGCCTGCTGCTCCATCTCGCAAGGGGCCAAAGCCCAACCAGTGTCACAGCGACGCACAGCTGGTTTCTCTGCTGTGGTCCCCTGTGATAACAGATGTCTTCGAGGACTGTGGATGAGATCCCAAGGGTGCTGAGACATCAGGTGGCAGAGCTGAGGTGCTTGGATCCAAAAAAACACCCAGAAACTTGTTTCTACCTCATTTATGCACCAAGGAGCCGTAAGACCACTCTTGACCCTCTCTGGGCGGCTGGTTCGCAGAGCCATGCTGCCAGCAGAGACAAGCCCTCCACAGTCAGCTTGGCTTTGCTGCTGTCAGTCCTGGAGCTGGGCGCTCGGACGCAGTCTTTGCAGCCGTGAGCAGCCTGGTAGCGAACCTAGCACCTTCTGGACCTTGTCCCACGCTCCTGTGAGCCCAGGGCAAAGAGGAGTTGCAGTGCATCAGTAAGAGCAGCTACATTCACAGCTCCCTTCCCCAGGTTCTGCCCTTTTTAAGGTATATTTTAGATATACGTCCGCTAAATCACTAGTGCAAATATTACCCGCGGGTTGGGAGTCTCGGCCCAGAGAGGCAGCAAGTCCTCCAGCCTCTTGGCCTTGCTAACTCAGAGGAGCTCCAGGTTGGCCTCCCTTGAGGGTCAAGTTAGAGGTAGACCCAAAAATATGAAATGCATAGGGGAGCTTTTGTGCTCTTCAGCACTTCTTCTGCAGGCAGTCTTGGAAGGAGGGCCGGTCTCCTCAGATAAATGGAGGGAGAGGAAACCTAACAGGTCTGCTAAAATTAAAAATCAAGCCCAAAGAATGAGGCAAAACCTTTCCACGGCACTGAACGCAGTGGCCCTTTCTTGCCTGAGATCCTTCTGTGCAGCTCAGGGGATAGGACAGAGCTGAGGACAGACTTTGGCTTCACACGCGTGTGCTATTTAAAACGAGTACCAAAACTGGTTTGTTGCATGGACTGAAATATCACCTGGAATAGGGATGCATATCAGTTACCACTCCAGAGGTATTTATTTAAGGAAGTACTGGGGGCTTTTTGATTTTATATGGACTAAGCCCAGATTAAAATGCCTCCTGGGAGAAAGAGAGAAATCAAGCCATAGATATGGGAGGGCTCTTCCAGGCTGTAGGGTCCTCAGCGCCCGTATGCAACACGCAAGTGCATCAGGAGATGGCTTCTCACACAGCACCGGGAGTCCCTTCTTCAGGGCTTTGTCTAGGTTTCAGATAACCCCACAAAGGGGCTTCTTTCCAGTTTAGTTTCAGTTCTGTGAAAGGAAAAGTGACTGAAAGGAAGCCCAGAGCCCAGGCTCTTCTGCAAGGCACCTCTGCGCTGCCAGCCCAGGCGCGCTGCAGCACGCGGAGCAGGCCGACCCCAGACAGGCATCCGTCCCCGCGGG